CCTGCCCCCTTCGCGGCGTCGGGTCTTGTCCAGGGACCTTTTCGGCCTGGGTGTCGGGTCAGTATTCGGCGACCTGCGCCTTTGTGCAGGATTGCGACCTCCCCCCTCTTCGGGCTGACCTGGGGGTTCACTCAGCCTGGATCCTCTGGAGGCGCGTCCTGGTCCCTGATCCTCGGCCCTCTGTGCCTGACCCCGCGCCCTCCCTTCTCGTCGAGTGGCTCAAGCGTCCTGTGCAGGGCAGCATCGAAGGCGGGGCCTTCAGTGACGGCTCCTGGGCGTCTTCAATCCAGGGTGGCCCCCGACTCGCTAGAGCGGGCTGGTCGGTGGTCCAGGTTGATGCCGCCGGCTCCCCGGTCGCTTCCCTGCGCGGCCTGCTTCCAGGCCCGCGCCAGGCGTCGGACCTCGCGGAGGCCTTCGCCCTCCCCATGTTTTTGACGCATGCTGCGCTTGGACCTTTCCGCTTCCGCTCGGGCTGTGCGCGGGTCGTCTCGAGCTTTGCGCATGGGCGCGCCGAGACGGCGGACGCGCGCTGCGTGGCCGCGGACTTCTGATCTCGGAAATTGGGTCGGGTGGACGACCTTGGCGGCGGGGCGGAGGTGCTCGAGTTTGAAGGCCATGCTCGCCACAGCCAGGAAGGCGACGTCGAGCGAGGCATGATCCAGCGTTGGGGCAATCACTATGCTGACCGTGGCGCTCGGGAGGGTGCTTCTTCGCTGTGTCGACGAGGCGGCGACGGACCGCGTGAAGCGCACCTTCCGCCTCGTGACACTCGTGGCCAAGTTCTTGGCTCGGGCCATGCGGACAGCGGGCCCGAGCCAGCCGGATGCGCCGCGGCGCAGCCTTCCGCGGCGCGCGCAGCAGCGAGGTCGCGTCCCCGAGCTGACCGCGGACACGGTGCCGCCCGACGGCTCCCGCGCCCGTGCCGCGCGGCAGGGGCTTCCGATGCGCTCGTTGCTACCGCGCCGCGAGGGCGCGCGGCGCGTTCCCCCCCGCGGCGCGTGCCCCAGGAGGAGGCCGCCGCGCGTGGAGCCTGGGTTCCTTCCTTTTCTGCGCGAGGTGCGGGGCGCACTCGAGCGCGAACGCCCAGTTCCTCGCGTAGCCTTGCCTCGGGGCTGCCCCCCCACAGACGCGGCCCCGCTTGGGGCGCCTGAGGGCTGGGCAGCACCCGCGTACTGGCCTGCCGCTGCTGCTCTCGGCCAGCGGCCAGGTTCGGCCACGGCCGTTCGCGGACTTCGTCCTCGACGCCTGGTCGGAGGCCTGGTCGTCGTGGGCGAAGTCGCTAACGGCGCGTAGGCCCCTGGCCGTGCCTGCTGGCACTCCCGCGTCGGGAGGGGCTCGGGCAACCTTCCCTCTGTCGGGCACGCGCCCGAGTCGCCTAGCCGTGCATTCGCGCTAGTCGCTGCGCCTGTTGAAATTGATCCTCCTCCTTCTCCTTCTCCTCCTCCTCCTCCTCCTGCTGCTCTTGCTCTTATTCCTTACGCTCCTTCTCCTGCTTCTCCGCCTCCTCCTCATCATCCTCTTCTTCCTACTTTTCCTTCCTCCTCCTCCTCCTCGTCCTCCTCCTCCCCCTCCTCCTGCTCCTGTTTCTCCTCTTTCTCGTCCTCGTCCCCCTCCCCTCCCCTCCTTACCTTCTTCTCCTTCTGCTGCTGCTGCTGTTGCTGCTGTTGCTGCTGCTCCTCCTCCTCCTCCTCCTCCTCCTCCTCCTCCTCCTCCTCCTCCTCCTCCTCCTCCTCCCCCTCCTTCTCCTCCTCCTCCTCCTCCTCCTCCTCCTCCTCCTCCTCCTCCTCCCCCCCTGGTAGACGTCTTCCCCGTCGTCCTCATGCGGAGGAGCGAGGGGGATACTCGGGAATGTGCTTGTCAACGTTCGGGGGGAGCGTGTCCATATGTGTTCCTTGTGAGCGTTCGGAGAGCTCGCCCATACTACATTAGATCGCGATGATGCTGGAAGTTTTGCGCGACGCTTCCGTTTCCCGCGCTTCCCGTCTTTGCAGTTTCTCAAATGGTTGTTTCGCCTTAGACATCCGGGAAAAAATGGGACGCGCCAAAAGCTGTTTAGATTTCGTTCAACAATCAGCGTTTCGTTCATGAGCAAACCCACATAATGACGTCGGACTGGCCGTCGAAGCCATGTGGACTCCTCCTCCTCCTCCTCTTTCTCCTCTTTCTCCTCCTTTTCCTCCTCCTCCTTCTCCGTCTCCCTCCTCCTCCTCCTCATCCTCATCCTCATCCCCCTCCTCCTTCCGTTCGTCCACCTCCTCCTCGTCCTTTTCCTCCTCCTCCTCTCCTTCCTCCTCCTTGTCGCCCTCCTCCTCCTCCTCCTTCCCCTGCTCCTGTTCCTCCTCTTCCTCGTCCTCTTCTCCCTCCCCTCCTCACCTGCTTCTCCTGCTGCTGCTGCTGCTGCTGTTGCTCCTCCTCCTCCTCCTCCTCCTCTTCCTCCTCCTCCTCCTCCTTCTCCCCCTCCTCCCCCGGTTGCCAGTTTCGCCGTCGTTTTCTGCGTGCGGAGGAGTGAGGGGGATAAGCCGGAATCTGGTTGTCAACGTTCGGGGGGGCGCGTGTCCATACGTATCCCTTGTGAGCTTTCGAAGAGAGCTCGCCTATATTACATTAGATCGCGATGATGCTGGAAGTCCTTGCGCAACTTTCCCGTTTCACGCGCTTCCCGTTCAGGTCAGGAAAGGTTCCCCAGAACAGGCGTTTCGCTTGAGACATCCTCGCCAAATCGCGATACTGGGGGTCGTATCGTAAGACGCTTGATGCTAGCAATGCGCGTTTTGCCAGAGATGTCCTCGGAACATTGGAATGCTAAAATCGTTGGCCGAATCGTTGCAGCTTCTCCAATGGTCGTTTCGCCTTGGACATCCGCGAAAGAATGGGACGTGCCAAGAGCTGTTTAGACTTCGTTCAACCATCAGCGCTTCGCTCGAGACATCCCTTACAATAGTGAAGTCGAACTGGCCGATGAAACCATCTGGTCTCCTCCTCCTCCTCGCCCTCCGCTTTCTTTTCCTCCTCCTCCTTCTCCATCTCCTTCTCCTCCGCCTCCTTCTCATCCTCCTCATACTTCTGTTCCTCCTCCTCGTCCCCTTCCTCCTCGTCCTCCCCCTCCTTCCCTTCTTCCTCCTTCTCCTTCCTCATCCTCATCGCCCTCCTCCTCCTCCCCCTTCTCCTGATCATGCTCCTCCTCGTCCGTGTCCTCCTCCAGCCCTCTTCACTTCCGTTTCTCCTGCTGCTGCGGTTGCTGTTCCTCCTCCTCCTCCTCCTCCTTCTCCTCCTCCCCTTCCTCCCCTGGTCGTCGTCTTCGCCGTCGTCCTCTTCATGCGTAGGAGTGGGGAGGAGAATCAGGAATCTGCTTGTTAATGTTCGGGTCGGCGCGTGTCCGTACGTATCCCTTGTGAGCGTGCGGAGAGCTCGCTTACATTACAGTTGCTCGCGATGATGTCGCACGCTCGTGCGCAACTCTTCACTTTCACGCGCTTCCCGTTCATGTCAGGAAAGGATCCCCAGAATGGGCGTTTCGTCGGAGACATCTTCGCACACATGGTTTACTGAAAGAGCTGCTCTAAGCCGTTTTATGATAGAAACGAACGTTTCGCCAGAGATCTCCTCTGGAGATGTGGATGCTGGCATCGCTGGCCGAATCTTCGGAACTGCAAGGATGCCCGTTTCGCCTTAGACATGTTCGAAACATTGGGATGCGCCAAGAGCTGGTTCGAGACATCTGTTCGGAGCGCTCTTGGATGGCCCCACGATGGCCCGCGAAGCGAAAGTATTGGACACACAGGTGGTTCCAACACTTCTGTTTAAACGTAAACGTTTCGCTCGAGACATTCCCTCAGACATGCCTTCGAATTGGCCCTCGAAGTATTAGATCATGCTGCACTTGCCGACGTAGGATAGGGTCTGTAGGGTTCGGGTCTGTAGAGTTAGGCTTCGAAGAGATGCAAGCACTTTAACCTATTGTGTTGGTCAACATGTTGGGGCATCGCCTGAACTTTCGCGGATAGTGCACTCCACCTGACATCCCCGTGGACGTTCGGGGAAACCGCCAGCGCTGCAGTTGATACTGTTGCTGGTGATTGTATTGCCAAGTTTGCTCGAGACATGCTTGAACTTGCCTTCGGACAGGTCTTCAAAATGATGACGGTAATTCAAAACCAGTGTGGTTGTTCAACATTCTGGGGCTTTGCCTGAAATTGCCTGGGCAGTGAACTATACCTAATAGCCCCCGTACACGCTCGGGAAGAGCGCCAATGCTACGGTCCGTCTCGATGTTGGTGCACGTTCTTGCCCAGCTCTTCGGTTTCACGCGCTTCCCGTTCATGTCAGGAAAGGTTCGGCAAATGACCCGAGGAAGCGCCCACTCCGTGCCCAGCGGCACGGTGACGGACTCCAAGAGTTAGCGTGTCCCCTCAGGCAGTACGTGTGGGATCCCCGACCCTTCTCGTAAGCACTCGGCGTCGACGGGAGAGGCAACAGGGCATCTACAAAGACCCCCAGATGACCTCAAGACACCACAGAAACCGTGCGGTTCTGGTTTGTCCTGGTACGGCCCATCTTCCGCGCCATGCCCTGCCGCCCACGCCAGCCAGAGCTCGAGCGGGTGCGAAGAGCGCGCGCGATTGGCCTGGTATCCATATCATATACAAGCCCCCGTTGTCCGGACACCGAGGCGCGATCCCATGGATAAGCGATTCCATGGGTAGGTATGGCGCCGGGCATACGCGCAACGCCGCCTTGTAGCCACGGGGCCGCGGCCAGCGAGTACAGACCTCAAGGCCGCGAACATTGAATTGATTGCCGCCCCGCGAGTGGAGGCGCCGTGAGTGATGCAGTCCAGCCCCTTCACCAGAAGTGTTTCTTGGCATGTCTGCCCGCTCAGTCTCAGCGGGTCCAGACCTTGGCCCAGAGGAGTGGCTTACCAGCAATACTTGCGAGATAATATGTTGAGGGTCTGATTTCTCAGAGAGGATAGAAAGTTTGTTTATATGGGGCTGCTGCAGGTTGTGCTGCAGCTGAACGAGCTCGGTCTCAACGTGGCGCTCTACTGGGAGAACGACGACTACCGCAGGATTCCCCCGTTCAGTTCTGGAAGTCATTCTGCTACGCCATGCGTGTCACGGTGTATCGCGCACTGTCATGTGGGAGGCATCTTCGCACAATGTTTTGGATGTTGCGTGCAGGATGTTGCGTGAGCGTCGCAGGTGCAGAGCGCGCCAACTTAGGTTCATACCGTATGTAGACACACGCCTTTCTCACGGGCATGCAGCGGGTACAGCACACAGTATCACTACCCATTCGTTGTTGTTTTTCTGGTCGTGAAGCATGCGCATCGTTCAGAACGTGGTTGTTGGGTGGGAGTTGTTTTACATTATTTTCCGTCAGAATGTGTCGTATTTTCTGAGGCGCGTTGTTCGCTGGCGCTTGGCAGGGGGGGAAGACTCCACGCAGGGGGGGGCGGTAGAAATGGGTGGGGGGGTGCGGAACAAAAAACGGCACAAGGGGTACAAGGGGGAGGACGGTTAGAAACCCGGGAGGCCTCCTTTCTCCGCCGGTCGCGCTTGAGCGGCGGAGGGTGGTGTTAAGAACCCCCCCCCATGGCGCCAGCGAATGACAACCGCGACAACGACCAGCTGGCGCTGGCGACGACGACGATAACGACGACGATGACGACGATGACGACGATCGCAGGCGATGTTTCTCCCCCAATCCCCGAGTTTCGCCCAAAAAGTTTGGCCGCTCAGAAAAATGGAAAAACCCTGGGATACACCCCAAGGGGGCTATTCGGACGCACCCCTATCGAGGATGGGCACCCCCCCATCGTATATCCCAGGGTTGGGCCCCAAATTTCTGGTCCATTCGGAAACCCCACGAAGCCTGGGATAGGGGTCGACGTATCCCTTGTTAGACGACGACGACGACGGCTGACGACGACCGACGACGACGACCTTGAAAATAACGACGGTCTACGACGATGGCGACCACTTCGACGACGACCGATGACTGCGACGTCCGACGACGACGACGCTTCCCGCACGACACGCGAGTTGACGACGACGACGCCCCTTAGGGCTTGCTGTAATGCCCCGCCCGCAAGGCCCTAGCAACATAGGTCGAAGCTGTCGTCGTCGTCGGTGGTGTCCGTCGTCGTGTTCGTCGGTCGTCGCAGTCGTCGTCGATTTCGCCGTCGTCGTCCCCGTGGTCGTCGCCGCCGTCGTCGTCGTCGACGTCGTCGTCGATGTCGCTGGTTGTCGTCGTCGTTTGCCAGCGCAAGGCGGTGGATTCTGAACCCCTCCTTCCTGCACAAGGGGCGGAGGCGGGAGTCCCCATGGCTTCTCCCCCCCCCCGCCCCTTCGCCTGGTGGGTCCTGTTCGCATTGGGGGGTCTTGTGTTGTTGTCCAGTGTGGTTTCGGGGGGGGGCCCTTCAGCTGTGTGCAGGCCAGTCGCCCGTGAGACGCGGTCCCTCTAACTTTCAGGGCGTGCTTGGCTCGACACGCTGGCCGCATCTTTGCACGGTGTGCGGGCGGTTGGTGGTCGAGAGCGAGAAGTGGCCGCAATCGGGAAGTCGGCTTCGGTTCTGGTTCGTGCCGTGCGTGCGGGCGATGCGAAGCTGCGCGAGGGCGACGGTGTGTCGGCCAAGGCCAGGGCCAAGACCTGCAACAAGTGTCTGCTCCAGTCCCGCAGTGCTTCGCCGTGGGCGGGTTGTCTTGTGGGTTGCCCTGCGGGTTGCCCCGTGGTTGTCGCGTGAGTTGTCCCATAGACATGCCAGTCGACATGCAGATCCAATGGGAATGGGAATGCACATCGAAACACAACTTGAAATGAAACTTCATTCGCAGTCGTAATTCTATTGGGGTTGCAAATCTTGATGCACATCGAACGTCGAATCGAATACCACACCGAAGTGCAATCGAAATACAACTCAGAATTCACATCGGCATACGAATTCAAATGCAGACGATGCAACTCGAAATGTTATGCCGATATGCGTATTGACAGCTGTTCGCAATTCAAACAGAAGCACGTCGATGTGCATTGAGATCAGTATATCGAGATGCCTCGTAAAACACAGGTGTATATGATCCAGGGTCTAGGGCCCACGGGCCCCCCCCCCCAGATGGTATGGTCCCAGGATTCCTCGGGCCCCCCCCCCCCAGATGGTATGGTCCCAGAGACGACGACGACGACGGCGACGACTACGACGACGGCGACGACGACGACGACGACGACCACGACGACGACAACGACGGCTGCGGCGGCGACGACGCCGGCGGCGGCGGCGACGACGACGATGACGACGATGACGACGATGACGACGACGACGATGACGACGACGACGACGAGGACGACGAGGACGACGAGGACGACGACGACGACGACGACGACGACGACGACGACGACGACCTCTGAACCACCACAGCACCACACCACATCCACAGGGGGGGGGAGGGGGGCACCGCAGCGCAGCACCACGCCACGCCCACCTCTGAACCACCACAGCACCACACCACATCCACAGGGGGGGGGGGCACCGCAGCGCAGCACCACGCCACGCCCACAGGGGGGGGCGGGGGGGACCATCGCGCGGGGGGGGGGGGCCCAATGGCATCAGCATTGGGGGGGGGGGCCCAAGCCCTGGACCAGATATTTATAGAACTTTACAACCTACCAAGGAATTTGGATAGATAGTGAGACAGGTCGATAGTGGTATCGATAGATGGTTGATGAATTTGATAGTTTGATGGTGAAGCTGGCTGAGAGGTAAGATCGGCAGTTGGCGAGTTCGCGAAACTGATAGATTGCGATTGCGGACGCCAATCGCCAACTGGAAGTTGCGCCCACCCCCTCCCCCAAACCTCCTTATCATCCAGAGGGTGGTCGATAGGCATATGTGCAGTTCACATGATGTTGAATTATTGCTGCACATTGTGGCTCTTCTGGCTGTGACGGATCGCGGTGCGGACCTTCTGCGATGTGTGTAGTTGTTCCTGTATCTGTGCTTGTGTGTCGGGGAGGGGAGTGTGCAGGCAGGTAGGTGTTCTGTGATGAGCCCTTGGTTCGCGGCCTTGCGTTTGGCTCCGAGACGTCGTGCGGAGTCGAGCAACTGCTTGCTTGCCGGAGGAACATCTCCATTGTCCCCACCAGCGCTCTGACTGGCGAGGGCGTGCCAGATCTACTCTACATGCTCCTCTACCTGGCCCAAACGCTGATGGCCTCCAAGCTGGAAGTCGAGGAGGAACTGCAGTGCACGGTCATCGAGGTGACGCGGCTGTCATAGTGTTCGCCTCTGATGCGGGCTATGGCATGAGGTACAGGGTCGACATGTTTTTTCAACAGGTTGATTTGGAAGGACCACACGTAGTGAGTTCGAGTGAGGTTTGCCTCCCCCTTCGTAGGCTGGCTGCAGGGTGCAGTGCGGAGGCCCTGCGGCTTCTCAGCACTCATTTCGATGGCAGGGTGGTCGACCCGTGCCGTTCCAATACCAAGGGGACTTCGACAGAGCTTCCAAGATAGTGTCAGCCTCATCGCACCCATGCCCGACGACTCCTCAATGGGTCGTACAGCCAAACGTGGATTATTTGTCGGTGCGTCATGGTATGTTACGGTGCATGCGCCCCATAGTGATGATCACTCCTCTTATGCCGCTACCCGCTTCTGAATTTTAGTGTGGGCAGATGCGGACCAGGTAAGCACAGCGCTCGCCCGAAAACCGTTGTCAGGTATGGGCCGCTTGCGCCTGTCTACCCCTCAGAACGCGTCAAGCATGTCATTCCGTGCTCCTCTCCTCGTTCCGAGGTCCCTCAAGCTTTATAATTACGTTGGCTTTTGAAAAACAATGTTTTTCAGTTCCTCCCCATCCTCTTACTCTTTGCGTTTTTTTTTGCCACTCTCGCATTTCACATGACACAGGTCAGCAATACTTCTACACTGCCTTGTCACTCTTTCGTGATCCGCCCTCCTGGCTACGCAACTTTGATACCTCTGTCATTCAACTTTCCCTTCGCCATATTATCTCTTCGAACTTTTGCAACTCTTTCTCTACTCAGTGATTTCCTTTGTCTATCCGAGCAGCTTTTCTAGTCCCTCTCACATGCCCGTCCACTTACAGTCTTCAAGCCACAGAACTGGGTGAGTGTTGGTTATACGCAAACACTTACTTACCTTGCTTCTAATAGTCATAGAGACTTCTAAATTGTTAGGCGCGTGGGCAAGTAGAGAGATCGATGGTAAACTTTCGACATGCAGATCGACCAGTACATCGAAGGGTAGCCGGACAGGCAAATATCCTTCATAGACAGGCATATGGGTAGATAGATAGGTGGGTCCATCAAATGGAAATGGGGAAGTGAGGTCGATTGGGGGTCGGCTGCGGTTCCAGCTCGTGTCGCGCATGTGGAGGAAAAACAATTATTTTTCTAAGTAGGGAAGCGCCTGAGCAGAAGTGCATCGTAAGGCCTCAGTTGCACAGAAAGCTACACTTTCAAGTGGAGCTCGATCAGTTACCAGAGTTCTCTGGAGAAACAGGCAAGATAGAACAACAGGAAACGCATACAATCACAAAGGGATGGATTCGCAGGCTGGGGGTGGGGCCGAAGGGAAACTGAATGACGCCCTTCTCAACATCAGATTTATGGTTCTGCTCGTGCCGCCCGTGCGCGCCAGAAGGTTCTGCGAGATCTTTTCATATTATGGCCTAACGAACTCGCTCCCCCGCCTGGCGTGCCCGCCGTATGGATCTTGGGTTGTGCCGCCGATGTCCTGTGTTTGTCCCGCTTTCTGGCCACGTGGTTCTCCGACCTATCCGCCTCTGTACTATGGCTATAATGTGGTCGCCTCCTTGTTGTTTGTCTTATGTCCCGTTGCGCCATTGGTCGTGCACCCTGGTGCCATTCGTCGTGCCGTTGCGTGTGGTTGTCACACGGCCACTCCCGTGGCTGCGCCGTGGTCGACAGAAAGTGGGATACCCAGATCGTTGGAACAGTTGGAAGACTTAGGCGAACGAGTTGTAAGAGTTAGTCAATCTGTTATAACACAAATAGCGAAGTATGAGAAGATGACGACCTAAAAGAGTTAGACGGGTCAGGACGGTTATATGGGGCAGAGAGATTCGGAGAGTCAGGCGACCGAGTTTGTCCAGTGGTTGCCCTGTACGGTTGTCCCATGGCTGTCCCGCGCAGTGGTCCCGCGGCTGGTCTGTGATTACCCTGTGCGGTTGTCTCACGGATGTCCCGTGGGTGCCTTGTGGCTCGATAAGGAGGAAGACAAGTATGCATTAGCGTATAACATACACTCATTGTGTTCTGCGTCTTAAAGACGTCAAGTGGACGGGCATGTTAGGAGGATTAGAAAGCTGCTCGGATAGATACAACAAGATCATTGGGTACAGGAAGGGTTAGAATAGTTTGATAGGTTAGATGGCGAAGGGAAATTTGAATGACAAATATTCCAAAATTGCGTAGCCAGGAGTTCGGATCACGATCTAATGACAAGGCAGACAAGACAGTGTAGAATTATTGCTGACCTGTGGCATGTCTTCATGCTTTGCAGAGAAGGGCTACCCAGAAGAGTCCAACATGTGAGATCGGCAAAACAGAGTGCAAAGAGTTCGAGGTGCTGTTTACACGCTAGCTCTTCTATCTTCTCTAACCCTTGAACTGTCCAACCACGGGCATCAATGACACAACCACAGAGCAATGCGGCACATCCGCAAGATAACCACAGGACAACCGCAGGACAATCACGGGGCAACGAGCACTGTCTTCATCGTGATCATCATCCGCATTCTATCACCACCATCCTCATCACCATCAGCATCATACTGTACACTCATTACTTTTCGTTGCCCCATAGGCAGCTCCACCGAAGGCCCCAATGGCAAAGTTCGCATGCATCGAGAGCTCCACCGAACGCCCCAGTGGTAGGGTCCGCATGCTTGCCCGCGCCCATTTCGGTACATCCCTCACACGCTTCGAGGCCCCACGGGGAACTCCACCGAAGGCCCCAGCGGCACAGTTTGCATGCGAAGGCCCTAGTGGCAGGTTCTGCATACCTGCCCACGCCGATTTCGGCATGCCCCTCACACGCTTCGAGGACCGAACGGAAGGCCCCAGTGGTAAAGTTCGCACGCGTGCCCGCGCCCATTCCGACACATCCCTTACACGATTCGTGGCCCCATACAGAGCTCCACCGAAGGCCCCAGTGGCCAAGCCCGCATGCGCGCTCGCGCTCATTTCGGCAACCTCCTCACAGGTTTCGTGGCCGCAGGGAGAGCTCCGCCGTAGGCCCCAGTGGCAAAGTTCGCATGCGTGCCCGCGTACATTCCGGCACACCCCCCTCATACGCTTCGCGGCCCCTTGGAGAGCTCCACCGGCGGCCCTAGTGGCAAAGCCCGCATGCGCGCTCGCGCAAAGATCGCCCCCTCCCCCCCCTCACACGTTGCGCGGCCCAATGGGGAGCTCCGACGGCTATTCACACAACCGCGATACCCACCGATGCAGGTGGTGTTTTTTTTTGTTTTCGCAAACTTGTCACGGTCTCGGACTCCGAGAATTACCCCCTGAGGCCAGAATATGCGAGAGGAGACAGGACTCAGCGAATCACGACGTCGGAAGTCCAGGGAATTTCCATTGGCTTCCGCTGAGGGAGAGACAGTGTGAGGCTTTTTTGGAGCGCCACAGGTGAAGACCATCGAGGGGCTGGGCACCACTATCGATGTAATCTTGGTCAACGGCACGCTCCGCGAGGGCGACCAAATAGTGCTCGCTGGAATGGATGGGCCCATTGTGACTACCATCCGCGCCCTCCTCACGCCGCAGCCGATGAAGGAGCGACTGGAGGGAAGGAAGGAAGGAGAAGGAGGAAGAGGAGGCCCAGACAGCCGGGTGTCGTGAAGAAGCACAGACAAGCGTTTCAGTCCCTTCCCTTTCCGCGGGGCCCTCACGGATCGATACGGCTCGGGATGTGCCGCAGCAGTCTTGTTGTGCGGGCAGCGTCGGTTGGATTTTTTCTTTACGTGTTTTTGTTGCGTTGGATGTTGGATGTTGGTGTTGGCCTGAGGCCGCTAGCGCTGCATACAGTCGGGACCCTGAAGAAGGAACCCTTCTCGTTTGGGGTGGGCTCAGTGTTCCTTGGTTGTCTTACAGTTTGCCCTCGGCTTCTGGTCGTAGGTTTTCGATGGGAAGTCGAAGGTTGTAACTTATTGACCGAAGGGGCCTCGCTCCTTCTTTAGGTTTCCTTAGGTCCACGCGCCGACTGCAGGATAGTGGGGCACGCCTCTCCCTCTCGGTTCTCTCCTCCGCGACCGCCCCCTCTTTTTTTCCCATCCATCTTGTGGTGCTGGGTCCTTGTCTTGAAGAGACAGCGCCCTGCGTGCAGGCCTCCCCCTGCCCCCTCCCTCCTCCTCTCATCATCACCATCATCGCCATCACCCGTTTCGGCACATCCCTCACACGCTTCGTGGCCCCATAGGGACCTTCACCCAGTGCTACCGCCCGCATTCGCCCCCCCCCCCCCCCCCACCCACCCAGTACAGCGTTTCGTGGCTCCATACGGAACTCCACCGACGGCCCCAGTGCTACCGCCCGCATGCGTGCCCCCCACGCACTACAGCGTTTCGCGACGCCATAGGGAGCTCCACCGACGGCCCCAGTGCTACCGCCCGCATGCGCCCCCCCCAACCAGCACAGCGCTTCGTGGCGCCATAGGGAGCTCCACCGGAGGCCCCAGTGCTACCGCCCGCATGCGTCCCCCCAACCAGTACAGCGTTTCGTGGCCCCTACAGGGACCACCAAAGGTCCCAGTCCTACCGCCCGCATGCGTCTCGCCAACCCAGAACAGCGCTGCGTGGCCCTATAGGGAGCTCCACCAACGGCCCCAATGCTATCGCCCGCATGCAGCCCCTCACACACAGTACAGCGTTTCGTGGCCACATTCGGAGCTCCACCGACGGCCCCAGTGCTACCGCCCGCATGCGTCCCCCCCAACTAGTACAGCTTTCCATGGCCCCATACGGAGCTCCACCGAAGGTCCCGGCGCTACCGCCCGCATGCGTCCCCCCACCCAGTGCAGCTTCCCGTAGCCCCATAGGCAGCTGTACCGAAGGCCCCACTGCTACCGCCCGCATGCGTCCCCCCCACCTTGTTCAGCGTGTCGTGGCCCCACAGGGAGCCCACCAACGGCCCCAGTGCTACCGCCCGCGTGCGTTCCCCCCTCCAGTACAGCGCTCCGTGGTTTCATAAGGAGCTCCACCGACGGCCCCAGTGCTAGCCCACATGCGTCCCCCCCACCCACTACAGCGTTTCGTGGCCCCACACGGAGCTCCACTGAAGGTCCCAGCGCTACCGCCCGCTTGCGGCCCCCCCCCCCCCTCCCCCCTCCCCCAGTACACCTTTCTCGTGGCCCCATAGGGAGCCCCACCGAAGGTCCCAGTGCTACCGCCCGCATGCGTTCCCCACCCAGTACAGCTTTCTCGTGGCCCCATGGGGAGCTTCACCTAAGAAGATTTCCATAATTGCGGTACTCACAACTGCATATGGTTGGGTCCTTCGCCAGGATTTGTTTCCCCGCGATCGTCGTGCTCGTCGTCGTCTTCGTCGTCGTCGTGATCGTCGTCGCATTCGTTTCCGCGCCATTGTCGTCGTTGTCGCGATCGACGTCGTCGCCATCTTCATATGGGGCTCGCGCAAGTGACTGCGCGCAGTACAAGCTCGCCATAGTTATGCTGAGCTTGTTCGGTGTTGGCCGCGCCTGGAATTCGTTGGGCACTATGGTCGACCATGCGGGATACTGTCGGGTGGGAATTTCTCCCCTGGACATCTACATTGACGAAATAGTTTGTTCAATGATCGCGAGAGAACCCGCTACATTTCCAAGACGTCGGCGCGCCCTCTTCGCCGCCGCCGTCGGCGTAATCGCCGTCGGCCTCGTATGTAACCGTGCGCGGTGGGATCTCGCAATCCTTGTTGTGAGCGTGTTCTGTGGGTGCCGCGCGTGGAACGATCTGTGCACTATTGTTTGCCGTGTCGGACATCGTTGTGCTTCCATTCTTTCCGTCGGGTAACCTTTCTTGGATAGAGGACTGTTGATCTTGGTTGTAGTCGTACTAGTGGTAGTGGTAATGGTACTGGTAATGGTAGTGGTATTGGTACTAGCAGCAGTAGCACTAGTAGTAGTAGTAGCAGCAGTAGTAGTAGTAGTAGTAGTAGTAGTAGTAGTAGTAGTAGTAGTAGTAGTAGTAGTAGTAGTAGTAGTAGTAGTAGTAGTAGTAGTAGTAGTAGTAGTAGTAGTAGTAGTAGTAGTAGTAGTAGTAGTAGTAGTAGTAGTAGTAGTAGTAGTAGTAGTAGTAGTAGTAGTAGTAGTAGTAGTAGTAGTAGTAGTAGTAGTAGTAGTAGTAGTAGTAGTAGTAGTAGTAGTAGTAGTAGTAGTAGTAGTAGTAGTAGTAGTAGTAGTAGTAGTAGTAGTAGTAGTAGTAGTAGTAGTAGTAGTAGTAGCAGTAGTAGTAGTAGTAGTAGTAGTCTAGTAGTAGTAGTAGTAGTAGCAGTAGTAGTAGTAGTAGTAGTAGTAGTAGTAGTAGTAGTAGTAGTAGTAGTAGTTCTAGTAGTAGTAGTAGCAGCAGCAGTCGTAGCAGTCGTAACGGTTGTCGTAGTAGTAGTAGTAGTAGTAGTAGTAGTAGTAGTAGTAGTAGTAGTAGTAGTAGTAGTAGTAGTAGTAGTAGTGGTAGTATTGCAGTCGTAGTAGTAGTAGCAGCAGCAGGAGCGATAGTAGTAGGAGTAGTCGTAGGAGTAGTAGTAGTAGTAGTAGTAGTAGTAGTAGTAGTAGCAGTAGTAGTACTAGTGGGAGTAGTCGTAGTCATGGTAGTAATCGTACTAGTAATGGTGTTGGCAGTAGTAGTAGTCGTAGTAGTAGTAGTAGTAGTAGTAGTAGTAGTAGTAGTAGTAGTAGTAGTCGTAGTAGTCGTAGTAGTAGTAGTAGTAGTAGTAGTAGTAGTAGTAGTAGTAGTAGTAG